GTACCGCCTTGGCTTATCTAACCAGATTTATAATATTATCATCAGGCCTAACAATGCACTTAAAACACCCAGTTTTTGATAAATCTAGACAAAAACAAAAATGTTCAAGTCTCAAATCAGATTATATAATGGTAATCTCCTGTTTTTCGTAAACCTTCCTAATCTTTAAAATATCTACTTGGGCTCTCAAAATTTAGCCAGCTAAGACCAAAGAAATTAAATATCACCAGCAGTGACGAAGAATTATAAGTATAAATACACGCTAATGACAGCTATTCATTTACAAGAAACACTGGTGGCTACATTACATTAACTATCTCCTGATCTTGTTTTCGTTTTATTGTTTTATTTCTAATCGATGTATATCTCCTTAAGATTAAAGCTGTTATGTTTTATGTCTTTCGCTATTTGCTTCACAAAGTTATTTACCTTTTTTTTTGTCTCATTCTATCTCTTCTCAATATCTTATCTGACGTATTGTTCTTCCCCGCACTTTAAACACTTTCCTGGATACTTTATCTCACCTAATATCACTAATATGATGAGACAAATCATCAAAAGGCGCTTAGTTCCACACATTTTAGGATTTTTTTTAGGAAATATATTATATTTGATGGACTGAGATGATGATGGACATTATCATTATGGAAATTGACCCTTCGTGCTGATGTTCACGTGAATTTCGCCTGTCCCTTGAATTTTTGAAAATGATTATTTCGTTTTAGGCTAACACGTTAATAGTAATCGTAGATTTTATTGAAATTTTGAAAACATTTTAGATATTACCAATTCTAGGAGGCTTGCGCCATCGCTTATAGTCTGAGCAAAAATCAATGAAAGCACATTGTCAATACCAAATCATAATGTTAAATACGTGCTATAGCCAGGTGATAGAAATGCTGTTGATTAAAGGCATTGTAATAGGCTAAAATATAATGGAGACTCGATCACTCATGACCCCTAACACTTCGCAGTTATTAAACTAAAAACGAAGGAATAACACATCTTTTCACCGATATGCTTCACTTTCTAATCAAGTAGTCAGCGTGCCCTGACTATGAATCTAAGCATTCAGGGTTCTCGTCCGGATGTCGCCAAAACGCACTCGCAATTTCAGGTCGTAGATGAATCTTTTTATAATGGAGCTTGCGATGTATACGTCTAAATCTCGGATCTCAGAAACTACCGCACCTATCATGAGTGGGTAACATTTTTATAAGTAGGCAGTATCTTTATAGCTGAGCAATAAATAAAATAATTGAAATTTTCCACAAAAATGACATGTTTCAGATTTAACCAATAAAATTACAAAAAAAAAGGAGAATAAGTTTCAAATATAAAACAAACATAAAAAAAATATTTGTTTTTCTTCAGTGAAAATCTCACGAGTGTTGCAACAGAAAAGCAATGCACTTTCATTGATAACTACGTCTACAAAGAAATACTTTAATAAAAATCTACTCTGTGATGTAATGCTGTAATGATAGTTCATTTTTAAACGAAAATTTCAAAAAAATCCTTTTTCTCATGAATGGTGAACATTGTTGAATGTCAAGTATGAGTACATTGTTGTAGAACTGGTAGAACATTCCAGAAAAGGCCTCAGGTCCAATAGCCTTCCGCAAGAACTAACAGTTACACCAGCCCGGAGGGCGGATATTTCTTCTAATTATAATAATGACGTTAACATCCCACTATTCGATCAGACAAGTGGAGCCCAAGAGTTGGTGGTTGTCTAGCTACTTTCCATGTATCCTATCAGTTCTAAATTAGAGACGAGGTGAACAAAGCGTAGATAGCCAAATGCATTAAAACAAACAAACATACAAAACTAGGGAATTACAGTCCTTGTGAAACAAACAAAAGAAGAAGCATACCGAAAAACAAACACTACACAGTATCGTCAGATAATAATGAGTCTGTAGAATAAATAGACAATAATGTTTTAACGTAGAGTGGGGAGATTTCCGAGAGCTGGTAATTAACATACAAGCTAATAATACGAGATGTCACATTAATCTTGTACATTATACGTCGAGTGTTACCGTAACGTTTTGCTTTGTATTTAAGTTTTCAGAAAATAAATCATTGGCTTTTGTGCTCCAAACTTCTTTAGATAATACATCATGAACTTTTTATGCTCCAAACCTCTTCTTATGAATCGGTTATCGAATGTTAATTCTTCAGAATTGCAGTGGACATCATAAGGTCATAATAAGCATTTTGAAATTATAACGAATTTCGGCTCAAGGAAATATTCTAACATGTCCATTTTAAAATTACATCTGTAGTTTCTTATACATTTCATAAACTATTTAACGTTATCGCCACTCTGTTACGAACACGAGAACTGGTGATGCTTCTGTTTAATATTTTGCTTGATGTTTTCTTTACAGAACGTTTGATGCTACTTTCGTGTTGTTAAGCTGCAAGTAAAACAGTTCTCACGCTATAAACTATACGATTATCGCATTTGCACCTTGAAATAATGACCATCGTCATAACTTTTCTAAGTGGATAGTGTGCATTGTTATGCTTACTGACATCATGAGCAAATTGACATCGCCCCCCGGGTGGTGATAGCACATAGGATAACTTTTGGAGCTTTATAATCGACTCGTGATAAGTTAAAAAATAGATTTTCTCCCATTGAAAGGACGGGTATACAGAAAGGACGGGTTCTATGTTTTCTCTGGTTATTAAAATATCCAAGAAAGGAAGTTGATCATTTTTTTCCATTCAATTTTAAGTTTGTTAATGGGGTGAAGGTGATTAAAGTTACTGAAAAGTTTCCAAAGTAACCTTTTTGGTTTGTTCATATAAAACATATATCATCAACATATCGGAACCACGGAATGTATGAAAGGTAAATATTTATTTGTTTGTTTGTAGTTAAGCACAAAACTACACAATGGGCAATCTGTGTTCTGCCCACCACGGGCGTCAAAACCCGGTTTCTGGCGTTGTAAGTCTGCAGATATACTGCTGTGCCATTTGGAGGTTGGGGGGTTGTATTTATGAAAGGAAGTAATTCAATTTCAAAATATTCCATGAAAATGTTGCATAGTGTTGGAGGAAGTAGATTATACATGTGCATAGTGTTGGAGGAAGTAGATTATACATGTGCATAGTGTTGGAGGAAGTAGATTATACATGTGCATAGTGTTGGAGGAAGTAGATTATACATGTGCATAGTGTTGGAGGAAGTAGATTATACATGGCCATCCTGTATTTTGGTCTAACACACTGACCAAATATATCGTTGTTAGCACAGATTTCGATAATAGAGATAAAGTGTCAATGGGAACAGGCAAGGATATGTTCAAGTCGGGTTAATTTGCTCATAAGAAACTCTATGGTTTCATCAACTAGCACGTTGGTAAATAAAGCATCATCATCTATTTCCCTTTATTTAGGACAGTGTTTTAATTTTGTCAGCAAAGTCTACACTGTTTTAGATGTGCGATGGCGAGATTTTCCCAACAACTAGACGTAGAAGTCCCGCTAACTTTAAGATAATGTGTAAGTGACATATTCCACTCTAAAAGTTATAGGGGACAATCTCTTTTCTGTGTTTTAGACAAACCGCACATTTGAGGTAAGGAAGCATTAATACGTTTTAACTTTTTTTAAAGATTTCGGTAACAGCAAGTTTGTACATACTGTTCGGTTGAAATTAGACACCTACTTGTGACAGTTCCAGTATACCAAATAATTTTTAGAAGTTCATGAACTTTTCCTTGATCAGTTTTAATGTAGATTTTGTGGTTCACTTGAAAAGTTAACGCTGACAGTAATTCGAACGCTTAATAAAAGTATTGTTTACTGTTTGTTTTCTTTCTCTAATGGAGTAACGTGGTAACATGCAATGAAATAACATTTTGCAAAACTAAACTACAAGCTTGAATATTTTGGTAAACATACTGTACTGAACATTGCTTTTTAGTGCATGTGCAATTGGCGCATTAATAGTAAACCAGCAACAAAATGCATTCAGCACGTAATGAAATGCGACATATTTATAAACTCAATATTAGCAATTAGAAGAAGAACAACAGCAAACTATATATATTTATTCTATTACATGATAATGTGGACGTATTATGGACCTAATAATATCTTACTTATATTGTTCGTAATTACAATGGAAATAATCCAGTCAGTGTTTATATCTTGTATACCATGTATTGTATAGTGTGACTAGAGTGAGAGGCAACGACAATGGTGATAATTAATGGAATATGCTTTTCCTTTTGAAAGTTACCACAATAGTGTAAGCGTATAATACTAGCATGAAATATTTGTTCTAGTTATCTGTTATATTATATATCAGTATCATGTTCAACGCTGAAATTATAGATTATAAACTGTAAAACTTAAGTTGTCCTTTTTTAAGTACAGAATTTACTATGAATCGGCTATCAGGACCGTCATCATAATACAAAAAAAAAATATTAAAGGCGTCTCAGAAAGTTTATAGCTACTTTACAGTTACTACTCATAATTCATCAAAGTTTAAATGAGTTTCTTTGCGATAAACATTTCTATTAAGAACATTTCAGACACACTTGGGCACACTGCCGCCTGAAAATTTACCATTTTTGTAAAGCCAGGATTCAGATTGTAATTTTTTTTCATGGTCAGTACAACTTTATTAACAAATGCACGTTGTTTTACTATTAATTTTATTGGTTTTAATCAAATAAGCAGCACCAAAAGTTTGTGGTTGACGGATGAAAGGTAAATAAAGCCGAGATGACGTTTTTTTAATCGTAATTTTTCACAGAAAGCCTTTTTTTCTTTCATGCATTGATATCATAGGGGAAAAAAGGAAAAAAAAAGTAGATCATGGAGATAACTACACAGTAAACTCTTTAAAATTGCTTCCAAACCTTGAAAAACTATAGCCAAAGAGATAGACGAAGTAATATATAAATAGTCTGTAAAAATGAAGTAAGGTTTGGAAACAGATGTTTAGAAAAAGCAGACATGACACTTACCTGCAGTAGTAGGAATGGTAACAGGTAGGCTTAAAGAATCCATGAATGCGTCTTTCATACCGTTGGAAGGAGATGCAACCTCGGTCGATAAAGTTGAGCCGGCAAACCATCCAATAGCTGTCTATCTATATGCTATAAAGACGCGCCTCCAGATTGTCGTTTCTTCGTGTGCTTGTAAAGCTCAGCCATGAATTGCACACAGTGAATAAGACCCGTTCCTCTACACCCTAGAAAACTGTTTTATGTTTTCCCGAATGTATATATTGCCACTGAACCTTCTCATCCACATGATATTTATTATTGACACGGGTTTCAAAACTGTTTTTTATATATTTTGTTATTACGGGTGCACCCAGCGATTGGTTCAAGAAAACTTTTGCTCATTTTCCCCACCTAGAGTTGCTTTTTGAATCGACCACCATCAGAAGCTATTTAAAATTGAGTTACAGCTTTATTTCTTTCTAATAACCCAAGAACAAGGCTGAACAGATTAATGCGTCCTCGAAAAAGAAGCAAACACGTGCTTGCTTTGTGAGCGCCCCATGCACATACTCGCACAGTTGCGACGAACTATTGAGTGACTGTTTTCCGAAGGTGAGCATATTAGTTGCGCATGTATGACGTCACTATCCAGTAAAAGGTCCACTTGTCTCTTAGTCTCCTATTGCACGACTTTGAAGAAATTGGCTCTTTAAGATTTCTAGTCTGATCAAAAGATGTCACACGTAGATTAAAACCTCAACATTTTGCATAGTTTATTACTCTAACTTCTTATGTGTTATTCTTATAAACACATTTACTTCAATGAAAATTGTTCTGGTATAGAAGTTAGTAATGCCTTTCTAATTCTATGTGTTACTTAAATAAGGCCTCATTAAAGTTACTGAATTAACAGTGAAACAACGTATGAAACTGATCTGATTACAAACAAAATATCACAGAAAACTTCAAATTACCTGTGTTTGGTTTGCTGTTATTGCACAAGTTATGTTGAATTCGACAAACAAGTTGCGTCCATAAAAAATATAGAGAAATCGCTTTTAATTTTCATTTACTGGTGTTTAACATTTTCTGTCTGAACGGCACCTCATACACGATGCACGAATTAAAAGGTCAAGAAAAGACGTCACTAGTGTAGAACAGTTGACGAGAAAGAGAGCAACCAGTTAACAGCACCCGCCGCCTGCATTTCTACTTTCAGTTGAACAGAAAAACCGACTGAATTTGTCTCTCACTTTTATAACGCGACCGCAGCTGTAAGTACTGCTGAGTTTGTTCAGCGTCATATCCAATGCTCGAACCTTGGACCTTCCTATATGCAGCTCAGGATGCTAACCACTAAGCAACACCCGGCATTCTCATTTCCTAAACAAATGCTGTAATGTTGTGGGTTAAAAGTGTAAATTGTTGTCACAGGTTGCACTGAATTTAAACTTAAGCAAGTTTAGCATATAATCTATATACGTATAATACTACTCACTGTATGTTATATGTTCATGTAACTACATCGCAGGCTGTGAATGTATTGGTATGGAGGTTCATTAGTTTTGCATTTTGCATTTTGCGTTTTGCGGTTTTTATGGGCGTTTTTGTGTGTGTTTTTTCACAACTACTTCGCCTATTGTAGATGGAGCTTCACCAAATTTGGCATGAAGGTTTGTTGGGTCTATACGGAGATACATGCACATTTTCGGTTTCACATTTTGTGTTTGGCAGTTTTTATGGGCGTTTTTGATTTTTTTTCTTTTCTTTACTAGTACATATAAGGTAAGCTACTTTTCATGTCCTAAAATAACCTTTCATTAATCATGAAGTTACGCAACTTCCGTCCAAGGGACGGGTACTCCAGCTAGTTCATAATATGTTGAGGCTATTTTTGCATTTTTTAAGACACTTATTGTTTCGTATTGATTTTTAACCTTTCTCGTTAATGCACAAGGATATTTACTTGCTTGAACGAATGAATAAAGAACATATTTACCTTAGTAATTTTATTTCACAAAAGAGCCTTAAATATCCGAACTTAATAACTTAGAGCATAAATGAACTACGATAGTTTCGTTAAAGTTGGACTTAATATGTCGATTATAATTAAGATTGTGCCTGATGATAGAAATATTTTAAATTTTGTTTAGTTGAACTTTTTTATTTGATGATGTGAGAGTTTTTTTACTGGAACAAAAAGTCTTGGAGACCCAGAGTGTCACTTAATATTATTACTTTTATTGTTGCTATTTTGGCTCAAAGCTACATAATGGGCTATCTATGCTCTGCCCGCCGCGGAAAATAAAGCCTCGGACTTTAGTGATCTGAGTCCGTAAACTTAATTATTGCTGTAACAAAATTAGGGTTAGGCGTTTCTTAATTTGCTGTAGGATTTACAAAACAATAAATATTGCAAAATTAAAACCTATATTAACGTAAAATTGCAAGGAACAATAACAACAACAACAAATGATGAGCTAACGCCAGCAAATTGGAATTGGAAATTTTCAACCTCAACGGCATCTTATACGATGGACCGGGCGAATCCTAGTGGTTATCGTGCCATATTGTCAACCAGAAGGTTTGTGGGTCGCGTCCCGTTCCCTGAAAAAAAGCGATCCGCAAATACGATAGACCGGACGAATCCTAGTGGTTAGCGGGCCGTATTGTGAAACAGAAGGTTCATGGTTCGCGTCCCGTTGCCTAAAAAACCCACTCCGCAAATACGATGGACCGGGCGAATCCTAGTGGTTAGCGTACCATGTTATGAAACCGAAAGGTTCATGGTTAGCTTCCCGTTTCCCAAAAAATATACGCTCCGCAATACAATGGACCGGGCAAATCGTAGTGGTTAGCGTGACATATTGTGAAACCGAAGGTTCATGGTTCGTGTCCCATTGCATAAAGAACTGCGCTCCGCACTTTTGGGCCGTAAGTCCGTTATATGAGTAAAGGTAAAATCCCATTATTCGATAAGACCAGAGTAGCCCTGAAGTTGGCGATAAGTGTTGCCTTTCTTTATGTCTATCAGCTTAAAATCAGGGACGGCTGGTGCAGCTTACTCTTATTTAGCTTTACACGAACGTTCGAAACAACCAACCAATACTTTGTGCAGCACACAGGATAAACAGCCAAGTCAGAGACCTCTAGGTCCAGGTTTAGCCATGTCTAAGTTTGAGCTGTTGACTATAGGGAAGGATAACCAGTCAGTACCATACACACATTTAAATTAAGTTAAAGTTGAGTTTAGAGTTTTTATGAT